AAGAAAAAAAAAAGGATAAACTCGCCATGAACGTGACTGAATCTAAGGAGGGATCCTTGATTAAAATGTGTCCCATGAACGAGATGGTTTGGAAGCAGGAATACCAAGTGGAAAAGATTGCCTTGGCCATGACAGCAATAATCCTGAACATCCTAAGCTTTCCTGTGACGATCCTGATGAATGCGCTGGTGATAATGGCGGTAAAGACAAGACCCAGATTACAAAGCAAATATAACATTTTGCTGGCCTGTTTGGCGGGAACGGACCTGTTAGTAGGAGCCGCTTCACAGCCGACTTTCATTGCGGGACAGATTTATGTCATGAAAGGTTTTTCTTTGACTGAATATTGCCGATACCGTAAGGAAGCCAATATCATTTACATAATTCCAATTCTTGCATCTCTGTATCATTTGACACTTATTAGTGTGGAACGGTTTGTAGCCATGAAGTACACCTTGCGATATGTGACAATTGTCACGGGGCTTCGTTTTAAAATAGCCGTTGTTAGTTCCTGGGTCATGGCATGTTGCCCAGCTATTCTGCAAAGCCTTTCTGAAGAGTTTGAAATCATTATCAGGGTAGCAAATACTTTGTTGGGATGTTTCAGCCTTTCGCTGCTACTTTACTGTCATTTTTCGGTTTACTTTGTAACTCGCCGTCACGAGGAACGAATCAAATGTGAACAAGTTTCACCACAAGCCGCTGCTGACTTTGCAAAGCAAAAGAAAGCTCTGAAAACTACCAGGATAATTACAATGACTTTGCTTGTGTGTTTTTTGCCGGCGAATGTGCATTATTTCTTTTTGCCCATCTATTTTAAGAGCAGTAGTTACATTGTAAACGTAATAGTTTTGTCCCAGCCCGTTCTCGTATCGGTTCTCTGGTTTAATTCTCTGTGCAATCCGATCATATATTGCTATAGAAATAAGAAGTTTCGAAAGACATGTAAAGAGCTACTTAAAATGAAGTGCACAAACTTTAAGGAGGAATAAGAGAAATTATCATAGACCTTTATGGCCTCTGGTATTTATAAACCAGGAGTTGCTGATGCTACAAAATTCAGTAGCATCGCATGCGTTGAAATAAACTTCCTTGGAAATTGATTTAGAGTGCTGTGGGATTCGTTTGAGAGTAGAAATAAACTACAAAAACAAGGCGAGTTACTGTTTACCCATCACTAAGGTTTTCTTTTCAGACAGTGTAAATTGAATTGAATTGCAAATCCTGCACTATGGAAAAAGGGTTTCGTGAAATTTCAAGAAGAATAAAACAAGATGGGTGCCATGATTCGATCTCTAACAACAGGACAATAACATCAACTGTAATTGGAAGGTTTCAAGGTTTTCACGCATAATATCTGAACTTCCTGAAAGTACCTTCGTTAAAAATATCAAAGAAGTTACTTTGTAGTATGTTAACTAACAGCATTACATTTTAAAGCACAAGATTTTTCTCTTGCCTTGGGAATTGGATCTCTTATTTAATTTTATTTATCCTGAGCCTCTCGGACAATAAATCAGTCAAAGACACCTGTCATCATTTTCACTAAAGATGAAGCGGAAGACGGGAAATATATTTAAACGTAACTCTTGAGGAAGAATAATAGTTATCAACATTTCGTTTCAGTGATTGATTGATTGATTACTTGATGGTGCTTTGATGTTTTCCACGTAGGAAATGTTATTCAAAGTAGTTTACTAAATCTTCCATCGTAGTTTGCGAAATGGTGTTTGTCACTTTAACAAATATATGGCACTTAAGATACTTTGCGGCCAAATGTCACTTTCCATGTTGAGAAAAATTGATTGGTGCGGTCATGAGTTAAAGAATCCGATATAACCAATACCGATACACTACCGACATACTACGAAAGCCTTGGCCGACAAACTACCGACACAATACGAACAAGTCGGCCGACACACTACCGACACAATACTAACCAGTTGGCCGACACACTACCGACAACACGTCGGTCGACAAACTACCGACACAATACGAATACGTCGGCCGACACACTACCGACACAATACGAACACGTCGGCCGACACACTACAGACATACTACCAACTCGTCAGCCGAAACACTACCGACACAATACAAACACGTCGGCCGACAGACTACCAATGCGTCCGCTGTCACACTTTAGAATTAATTTGTTGTTTGGGAAATTGTGTTTTAGCCTTAAACAATTGGTTCTTAAAACACTTTGCGAAATGCTGCTTTGTTCTATTGCTTGGTGCTTGAGGAAATCGTCCTTTGAGGTTCTTTACCAAATGCCACTTCAAGTTACTTTGCGAGTAGTCACTTTATACTCCGTTAAATATTACTTGATGAGGTGTTACTTCAAAGAAGGTTGCTCCGCTCATATAAGTTTCCCAAACTGTGAGATTGATAGGTATATTTCGTAAAAACCATTTCGTTTTGTGTCAAAAAAGGTACCGCAAGCGTCCGGAATCTGGACTTCGCAGAAAACTTGCCATGAATGCAACTGAATCCAAGGAGGGATCATTGGTTGTAATATGTCCCATGAACGAGATGGTTTGGAAGCAGGAGTACCAGGTGGAAAAGATTGCCTTGGCCATGACAGCAATAATCCTGAACATCCTAAGCTTTCCTGTGACGATCCTGATGAATGTGCTGGTGATAATGGCGGTGAAGACAAGACCCAGATTGCAAAGCAAATATAACATTTTGCTGGCCTGTTTGGCGGGAACAGACCTGATAGTCGGAGCGGTTTCACAGCCGACTTTCATTGCGGGACAGATTTATGTCATAAAAGGTTTATCTCTAATTGAATACTGTCGATACCATAAGGAAACCTACCTCATCTTTTGGATTCCAATTCGTGCATCTCTGTTTCATTTGGCACTTATTAGTTTGGAACGGTTCGTAGCCATGAAACACACTTTTCGTTATGTGACACTTGTAACGGAGTTTCGTTTAAAAATAGCCGTTGTTAGTTCCTGGGTCATTGCATGTTGCCCAGCTATTCTGCAAAGCCTTTCTGATGAGTTCCAAACCATCATCAGGGTCGCAGGTTTTTTATTGGGATGTTCCAACCTTTTGTTGATACTTTACTTTCATTTATCTGTTTATTTTGTAACCCGTCGTCACGAGAAACAAATCAAATGCGAGCAAGTTTCACCACAAGCCGCTGCTAACTTTGCAAAGGAGAAGAAAGCTCTGAAAACTACCAGGATAATTATACTGGCTTTGCTTGTGTGTCTTTTCCCCTTGATTGCGTATAACTTACTTATGCAAGTCTTTTTTAAAAGTAGTAGTTACATTGAAAACGTAATAGTTTTGTCTCATCCCGTTGTAATTTCTGTTTTCTCGCTTAATTCTCTGTGCAATCCCATCATATATTGCTATAGAAATAAGTCGTTTCGGAAGACATGCAAGGAGCATGTAAAGATGAAGTGCACAAACTTTAACCAGGAATAAGAACTTACTAAAAAACACTGTATATGGCTTGAGATATCGATATTAATCCAGGAGGTTATTTTTTTTTTGCTTATGTTACAAAAATTTAGTGACATTGCATATCAGTGTTAAAATAAACTTCCTTAGAAATTGATTTTGAGTGTTGTCGGTTTTATTGAAGGAGAAAAATAAATTGAAAAACATGGCAGTTCTGTTTTTCTTCCTGGCGGCGCAAATTTTAATAGGAAATCGGGGACCTTGAAACGAAAGACGGGTTTTAGGTGAAATGAGGAGAATAAACGAAGAAGACTCCTTGTCTGTGAACCGACTAGAAAATAAAAGCAACCGTAATTTAAAGCTGTCAAAGTTTTGCCGAAAAATATGTGAACTTCGTGAAGGTTCCTTCCTAAGAAAACTTAATTAACAGCACTGTAATGAACGCAGAATTATTTTTCACTTATTTGAAATTGGATTACAATTCGGATTTTATTTACCCTGAGCCACTCAGCCAGAAAAGCAGTCGACGACAGCTGCAATTTTCAATGAAGAACCGCGAGACAACAGGTATATTTTAATGTTAGTTTTAATGACGAATAATAATTAGTAACATTTATTTGTTTAGGAAATTCTACTTCAAGATACTTGTAATATTCTGGGGCCAATAAACCAGCCAAAACTCGAGAACCCAACTCCTCTTTAATTAATTTCAGCGACTAAAAACGTGTTTCATCCGAACTGAACTCTAGAAACTGCTGGAGGAACGGTTACACAGCTCACAATATTCCACAATACTTGCATCATCATCACCTGCTTTGCCTCAGTAGGCGCATAAGGCCGTAACATTCTGTTTCCACTGTGCCCTACTGCTGGCAACCGCTCTCATAATGTTCCAGTCGTTCCACCCTGCCTGTCGTCTCTCTTCCTCTACCTCCAGGCCTTTCTAAGTCTTACTACTGCACTTGTATTTTCTGGTCTCCACCCTAACGTCATTATGCAGTCACTGGATCTTTCCACGCAGTTTATCTCCAATTCAAGTCCAACACCATTTTTTTTTTTTTTATCTCATCTCCGATTCTGTTATACATCATATCGATGATTCTCTCATTGCTCACTCGTGCAGGCCATCTGATCCTTAGAATCCCTCTCAAACATTTAAACTGGGATACATCTAGTTTCTTTTCTTCGCTCTCTTCCATGTTTCACACCCATATACGGGAGTACCTGTCTAAGTAAACTTTAACCTTTCCCATTTCTCTTGTTTTCTATAGCTTTGGCAGGTTTTGAAAGGCGCCTCTAGCTTTCTGTAGCCTATTCTTCATGTCTTCTGTTCCGGCCTCATCTTCCAAGACTTTGGCACCCAGGTAGACAAACTTTGCAAGATCTTCCACCTCATCGCCCCTGGCTCTAATCTTGCCCACCCTTGCTGTATTCATTCGTAACACTTTGCAGCTTTGGTGCGTTTAAACATAAACCTATTCTGCCTTCCTTGGTAATCAGCCTTTCTGTTTCCTCTTGAATGTGTTTATATTTGGATGCCAGCGACGCAGTCCAATTGTTCAAATACACTTGTGAAGTCGCACCCAACACCACTTCCTCTCCCCTCCATGGTTTTCCTCATCACCCAATCCACCGCAAGAAGAAACAGAAACGTCGACATAGGGACACACAGCCCTGCTTCACTCCAGATGATCTTCCGAACCAGCCTGTCAGTTTGCCTTCATCCATCACTGCGCATCAACTCCTCACCGACCCCATGTTTTCCAAATGTGACCCATTTTTTGAAGTGTGACCCATTTTTCCAATTGTGACCTATTTTTCCTAGTATGTCTCATTTTTACATGTTTGACTCATTTTTTGAAGTGTGACCCATTTTTCCTAGTGTGACCCATTTTTCCAAGTTTCAACTATTGTTACAAGTGTGACCCATTTTTGCAAATGTGACCTATTTTTCCATGTGTGACCCATTTTGGATTTTTAACCCTTTTTTCCTAGTTTGATGCCTTTTCTTCCAAGTGTGACCCACGTTTTTCCAAATGTGACCCATTTTTCCAAGTGTTACCCATTGTTCATAGTTTGACCCTTTTTTCTAAGTGCGACCCACGTTTCCAAGTGTGGCAATTTTACTCAAGGGCATCTTAAAACCCGCGTATCACTTAGTTTGCCAACGTAGAAGTATTTTCGGCTGTCTTTTGTCTCCGCCGAAAAATATATCGAGCTTCGATCGCTTGGAATTTTGTATTTTATCGGCATCCAGATAGTTTCTTTTTTAATGCTCTTCAAACTATTCCGAACTTGGTGGAAATATAGGCTTGGTTCTGGTTTCATTCACTTACGGTTCCGTGACCTCCTCCTTTCATACATCATTATTTTTTACAGATTTTCTCCATTAAACAAACAAAAAAACCGAAAATATCTGTAGAGAAGTAACAAATATTTCGCCTTTCTGCCCTCGCTCGACCGAGGTTTTCTTCGAATGTGGAAGGGCAAGACTAATATATATTCTTTTTCAAGGCCTATTTTACCTCAAGGAACAACATCAGCTGCAAAATTTTCAAGAATAGACTTAGCTGAGTTGAAATGAGTACGTTTAGCTGATCTTAATGTCACTAGCTTCTGTTATTTCTGATGGTTGTAGGCTAAGATCGTCTTAAAATAACGAAAGCTTCTACTTAATTCTTCTATGCCACTTGGCTCGTATGCAGACTGGTGAGTAAGAAAGGTAAACACAGTATCTATGCATGATCAATAGCTAACTTCTCATGACAATTTTAACAGATCGTAAGACGGCTTAAATAATTTATATTGTGGCAATCCTTAGGGCGAGCGCAGTTCTTAAAATGAGATACGCATTTTTTAATTGTCCACTATTTTCCGCCGGGAGTGGAATGAAAATTTAAGGGCTAGATTTCAAGCTTTTTAAGTTGCTATTTTATTACGGACTGGTTGTAAAGAGGCGGTGAAATGTGTAGGCGAATAACAACATTAGCCATTGTAGACTAGCAGAATTTCTCTAGGCCTTAGCCCGGTCCTTCTTGTATCTACCGTCAAGAGCTCGAGCCAATATTTACAGACAGTAACTATCGCCCGACAGGCTGATGCCACAGTTTTGCATAAAGCTTTCTTCAAAATCATTGAGTGAAAGATACCTATGCGAATCGGATTATTACATCGGCGAAAGGATGTTTGATATTTTTGGTGACGCAGTGGATGCCATGCGTAACAAAACATGGTACTATCGGCATACTTATTGTGAAATTGCGAAATGACTTTGCCAAATTGTATTTGATACTTTAGGAAATGGCACTTCAAGATATTCTGGGCAATGGTGCTTTGTAAATTGTGAAATGTTAGTATTTTGAATTTCCTAAATCTTCTTCGCCAGTTAGGAAATGGTACTTACACTGAGATACTTTGCGAAGTGCAAGTTGAACTTCCGAAATGGAGTTTTTACTTAAGATACTTTGCAAAATGGTACTTTGGTACTAAAGGAAATGGTACCTGAAGATAGTTCATTTAATGACTCTCTGAAATTTGTGAAATTGAAATATTTTGAATCTGCGAAATTGCGTTTACCATTTAGGAAGTGATACTTCAAAATACTTTGCGAAGTTTTTTACAACATATAAGTTGTAACTTTAAGTGAAATATACTTTACGAAATGTTACTTTGTATTTTGGTACCATAGGAAATGGTATCTCAAGATCACCAAATGGTTCTTTGCAATTTCTGAAATTTTAAGATTTTGAATTTGGGAAATTGGGTTTACCACTTAGGAACAGATACTTCAGGATACTTTGGGAGATTTTTTAAAACTTAAAAGTTGTAACTCACGAAATGGAATTTTTCACTTTAAGAGAAATATTACTTGAGATACTTTGAGAAATGTTGCTTTGGTTTTAG